GCAGGTGCGTTCTGTACGTTGAGGATTTTTGCTCTCACTTCCAGTGCTGGGAGGTTTATTAATCGATAAAAGGAACAAATATTTTTAAAATTCTGTTTGCAGTCTAGAGAATCCCATTTTCATTAATTTTTTGCATTCTTTGAGTTCTAATAACAGACTTGGGTAGGTTTTTGATACTTTTCAATAAAGCAGAATTCTCAGCTTGATTGAAATTAATTTGCTTCTGTCTGTGAAGGCTGAGATATACCTGGCAACTAAAATTCAATCCTCAACAACTTTTACTCAGGGGTTTCCCCATGTAGTCTAATTCTGGCTGTGTTCACTTCAAGCAAGTGACTGAAGATTTGCATTGATACTTTTCCTTGCTGTTTATGGCTGCTTCACTACACAGAAGCTGTACGAGTGATCCTGGTAAGAAGTGTTGCTGTCAAGATCAGAACCAGTGAGCAAAGCTAAACTGCTTAAATTTTGTTTATATTCAGAAATCATGGTATGGGGCAGCATATTTACAAGCAGGCGCCAAAATTAAGCACGGTTCATAGTTCTGTGATAGTAAAGTTACATCATGACCCCATATGAATATGTCTGTGTACTATTGCAGATTAATTTTGTTATTTTTGTTGTTTTTATTCCAGCCCTGCTGCCACAGCAGTGATATCGTTGGCATTTGGACGTTACATTTTGGAACCTTTCTTTATGCAGTGTGAAATCCCAGAACTTGCAATTAAACTTATTACAGCTGTTGGCATCAGTAAGTATCCCATTTTAGGTTTCAGGGAAGGCTAGAGATGATGTAAATAGAAAAAAAAAAAAAAAGTAGGCGCAGGCTGAACAGGTAGTTGTTTGATGTGAATCATTACAGAATGACTGTGTGTCCCGTGCCAAGGGCATCAGCGTGACTTTTTGCCTGGGTATGTGTGTTTGTGAACATATGCAGTAGTAAAGAGAATAACAGACTTTATTAATGGCAGGGAAAATCTATTGCCAAGCCTGATGCTGTTGCCACTTGAATTAATGGCAGAACTCTCATTACTTTGTGGAAGCAATTTCAGTCCCAAAGAGATGGCGAGCCAGTGCCAGAGATATGGAAGAATGATTACCTGATTTTAAGTGCTTTGCTTTACCTCTGTTTTAGGAGGCAATTGAGTGCCAAATATGATGCCATGAAGAAATGTAGTTCTCTTGAGCGGAGCACAGGCAACATGAGATCATCTTCCCTATTCCCGCTCTGTCCTGCACAGCAATAAAACTTATTGAGGCACTCGTGTGTCAGGAACCCAGTTGATGACTTTGGGAGCAGGGTGTACCGTTTGGTGAAAATGGATGTCTGTCACCAGTTGCTTGTCCGACTCTTGATAACTTTGCAATGAGAGTAAAATGGACTGTCTAGGGATACAGAGAACCAACAATTGTCAATGGAAGGAGGGAGGCTACCCTGAGACCAGGAGCTTTATGGTGTGCCTGGGCTGGCGTGGGAGGCTGTGTGACTTGGGAAGGCACAAATCTCAGTGTGAATTGGACTCTGGAGCTGTGTGCTTGTTTCCAGTTCTGTATGGTCACCAGGGATGATGCTCCTCGCACACACAGCTGCATTCAGCTGTGCTGGGAGGAGGTTGCAGAGCAGACCTGAGCAATTACCAACAGCTTGCTCCTTTCAATTTGGTCAGCGTGCATATTGGAAACAAAAGGACCGGAAAAAGGAGTTAAGACATGCAAAAAGTGATCAAAGGCACGTAGGAGACCCCTTTAGTTCTGCATAATAATAGGTTCAGATTACTTTTTCTTTCTTTGGGGTAGAGTGTTCAATTAACATGGAGATTTCCAGTCTCCAGGTTACTGTGGCTTTTGGTAGGAGCTCTCTCGATAAGAGTTCCCTTCTGCCAGGAGCATTAAAGAAATCAGTATGTGACCACATTTCTTTCTAACTTAATTATGCACAAACTATAGCTTTCATAGGAGTAATTGAATTAAGAGCTTGAGTTTTGAGGTCAATGACTTTTTATGGCTACAACTGCCTAAAATATTTCAGTGCAAGATAAGAGTGAAACAGATGTTCAGGAACTTCAGGGTCACCGAGACAGAAGGAATGTTACGTGGGACTCCATCAAAGCATTTTGTTAAGCACGTGTGATTCAAGCACAATAAGTGAACAATTTGAAATAGCTTTTTATTGCTTTTAATTTAATTGAAAATCAGTGTGATAAGCTGGGGCTTCACAAAGTAATTAAGCAAAGAAGTAGCATCGCGGGGGGGTGGAGTTATGCTGAAATAATTACAGCCTAAAGGGAGAGAGGAGTTCACAGCAGACTCTTCCTATGGTGACCCCGGGTCTGCGCGGTGCAGGTAGGATGAGCCGTCATTTCACCGAAAGCAGGGATTCTTGTAGAAAGTTTGTAATGGTGAATGGGACAATGCTGTGGAAAAGAGTGACGTGTCAGACTGAGGCTTTATCCTTTGTAGCGTGCTCTACAGTGGAGTTTCATTTGTAGTGGTTTGTAGTAGTGTAGTTGTAGTAGCGTACAGGTGTTATTCTTGTACAGTAAGAATTAGCTGTTGTGGTGGTAACTGTTATGAATGTTTTGTATTGTGCATGTAGGCAGAGTGATAGGCAAGGTTATGATGATGTTGAGCTGAACAGACACATTGGAGCCCTGAACATCTTACAATCCACTTCAACAGTACCAAAGGCAGTGCTTGCTTCCACTGGAAATTTTAAGTTAATCAGAAAGTGAACTGGTGTACCTTTTGTCATCCTGTCCACTCCTGGTCCCTTCTCCCTTCCATGCCTGATGACAGAATGCTCACTGCCAATCTATCTTTATTGCACGGAGGAAAAGTAGTAGGATGCACCTTAAGGTCAGTCCTTGGATGAGACTTTGTTTTGTAGTTTTACGTTGTCATTTCTGATCATATGAGAAAGGGCAGGAAGATATCTTGAAAAATCTCCAGGTGATCTCCTGCCCCCAAGCACGATTAGTGTATCTAAACAATTTCTGAGAGCTTTTAGATTTCTCCATCCTTGTCAAAAGCTTTTTTATTTTTTTTTTCTCTCCACCTAAAACTCCTTTTCTGCAAGCTGAGCCTATTATTAAAAGGTTGCCTGAAATGGATGCAACTAGGATTATGATGGGGATTGGCAGATCCTGTTGCTTCTCTGCCCACTGCAAACAAGTACTACTCGTGCAGGGGCTACATACAGCCTATTCTGCTCCCCACCATTCCACCTCACTACGTCTGTGGTGAAAAAGGAACAGCAGTGCTACAGAGGAGGTGTAGATCAGATGAGAACTAAAATGGAACTACCAGGGATGATGACCTTTAAAAAGCCCCTCATTCTTGACTTATTTATGGGAAAAAAGCATGTGCTAGGCACAAAATTCCCCTCGAAATCACATCTCTTCTGAGTGCTGTTGAACAATCTGTAGAAGCAAATTTTCTGTTCTGTGATATGGTGCTTTCATTTTTTTTTTCTTAAAAAAAATAGAAAAAACCCAAAACAAAACTAAAACAATCCAACCAACCAAAATGTCCAAACATTTCAATGGCTCAGTAGAGAGAAGGATGCTTATGTGGAGGTTCTCTTCACATACCCCAGCCTTCTGAGCCTCTGCAGAAAAAGCTGCCTTTTCTCTTCAAACTTAGAAATCACTTTAATTCACTTGGTATTTTTCAAGTGAATCTCTTCAAAGAGAAAAACCTAGGCAAATATAGGATATGCATATCTCAGTCTATCTGTCAGTCTGCCACAAACTTTTTCTAAACTCCATCAATTTAACTGGACATGAGGGTAGAGCAGACATCTCAAAGATATCTCATTACTACAATTTTTATGAAAATAAGTAACCAGGTAGAGGATAGAGATCCTGCATGTGCACCCATATAGGGAAGGACAGAGGAAGAAAATGCAGAAAAAAATGCATACAGGAAAAGAAGCCTCCTATATATCCAGCTTTGCTCAAGTTGCACACAACGGCCCCAGCACATAAACCAGAAGGGATGCAGGCCTCCTTTGTTACAGTGATGAAGATGGTCTTTTTAGGAGAAAGTTAAAAATTCACATCTCTCTTTAAATGAAAGCTGGTAGACTCCTGCATATTTATTATTTCTTCCAATAAAGAAATATATGCTGTCTCCATTGCAAAGCATGGCAATAAGCAGCGCAACAAAGCCCACCGGAAACTATATTTGTATATTGCTTTATTTGTATTTTTAATTCTTCTCCTAATGGTAAACTTAAGTATATTGGTAACAGGAAGGGATAAATTATACTGCGTAAAGGTGTTGAACTGGACTGTCAGTATGTAACCTGAATAGATAGGCAATCTTACCTGAGCCTGTTCTAACCTTTTTGCTTGGCCTCCATATCAGAAAGCAGATAAACAGGTTTCAGCTGTTAAAAACTGTGAGCCTGAAAGCAGGATACCAACTCGCACACGTTTTAAAAGTTTTTACACTCACTCATGCATATTTTGGGCGGTTCACACCACAGTAATGTATAATTCCCCCTCCCCACCCCCCCCTTTTTTTTGGAGGTCTGACAAAAAAAAAACCACAAATACCCCAAACTATGGCTGTTGGACAGAGGCAATAATATGCTTGAAAACCGATCTATTGTTGCTTGCTGGCAAATACTCCAGGACAAAGCTTTATTGGCATAAATTTAGTGTATATCATAGAATCATTAAGGTTGGAAAAGACCTCAAGGATCAAGTCCCATATGTGAGTCTATAGAGTCTATGGTTAGTTGTGGTTTGCTTTCTTTCCATCATGGCAGATGTTACAGACATGCCTCTCTCCCGCTGACGGTTTTCAGACAAGCATTTTAAATTAAGACATCTCTTGGCTTGCAGGGATAGCAAAAGCTGCTCAGATGGGTGCTTTTGTCTCTCCTGTGACTTTGTTTTAATTGATTCATTAGGATCCACAAATTGAGGGTGTTTTTTGCTTTGTGTGACTGCCTTGACCCTAAAAACCTGACAAGTTAGGGGAGGAGGGCTGCTTCCTTGGTTTCCCACTGAGCCCATGGTACATGTGTTCCTGAGAGGTAGGCCAGGATGTAATGCTTACTGCTGCTTTTCCTATTAGATTTCATTATCCCTTTATAGCTGTGGCTGTGTGAAGGAAACATTGTGAGAAACAACGTGATCAGTGTCAGCATTGTGTCTGATTGTCCGTGAACCCCATTCTGTTCTCCCTCCACACTCCCCTCGGTTAGGATCCATCCCACCTTTAGTTAGGTGTTGAGTTTAAGGTAATTGTCTGTGGTCCCCATAAAGTCAGTGGAGAGAGAGGGACTGAAAGAAACATCTCTTCTGAGACAGGCACCTGAAAGAGGTGTTGTTATTCATCCTCTGGAGGTGGTTGTCTCTTCACTGAGGATGCAGCCACACTAGATGCCTGACTTTTCGTTAAGAAATTTAGAGATGAGTCCTACTATCACTGCTTCCTGCTG